CATGTAGTCTTCTTGTTGTTGATTTCTAGTTTTATAACATTGTGGTCTGAAAAGATACTCTGCAGTACTTTGATGTTTGTAAATTTATGGAGGCTAGCTTTGTGACGTAACACATGGTCAATTCTGGAGAATGTTTCATGTGCAGTAGAGAAGAATGTATATTGTGCTGTTGTTGGGTTGAATGCTCCGTACACATCTATGAGGTCAAGTTGGTTGATTGTGTTGTTTAGTTCTTTTGTAACTTTCTGGTTGTTCTGTCCCTTTTCAAAAGTGGCATATTAAAATCTTCAGTATAATTGCAGATTTATCTATTTCTTTCTTCAATTCTAGAAATGCTTGCTTCATATATCTTGGTGTTCTTTCACTGGGAGCACAGATATTTATTATGGTTATGTCATCTTACTCAGTTAATCCTTTAATCATGAAACAGTGTCCTTCTTTATCTCTAATGCTGGTTTTCGTTTTTAAAGTTTATTTATCAGAGATTGGTATTGCCACTCCTGCTTGTGTACTGTTTCACTTAGTTTTTCACTTAGTTTGCTATTATCTTTTTCCATCCTTTAACTTTTAGTCTTTTTTGTCTTTGTGTTTAAGGTGTGTCTTTTGCAGGCAGCATACTAAAGGATCATGTTTTCTTATGCATTCTGCCACTCTCGGTCTCATCACTGGTACACTTAATCCATTGACATTCAATGTAATTGTTGATAGGTATGAATTAATTGCTGCCATTAAGTTAATTTTTTGGTAGTGCTGTTCATTCCTTTGTTCTGCATGCCTTCTTGTGCTGAGTTTTTGCTCTTTTAGTGCTATCTGTCAGCTTCTTCTTAGTTTTCATGTTTGCTTGTTCTGGTGGGAAGTTCATTTTCATGGTAAGTTGTGAAAAATTAATTTTCGTTGGGGTTTCCTTACCGTCTTATTAAGTTTCCCTCCATTTAAGACAACTATTGTATCCTGTAATCTACCTGACATCCTCACCATCTGGATCTCTGTTCCTAAATTTTTCCCTTCTTTGACACTGTTATTATTTTGATCTTTGACTGACCTCCTAGCACCTTTGAATTCGTTGTTGTAAGTTTATTCTGTTCTGGACTCTGCTATCCGTCGTCTGAGTTCAGGTGGTATTGCAGGTTGTTGTCTGTTCTTGTTGGTTTTCAGTCCAAAGAACTCCCTTTAGGATGTTTTGAAGTGCTGGATTGGCTTTGACAAAATCTCTCAGCTTCTGTTTATCCTGGAATGTTTTGATCGCACCATCGTATTTGACTGATAGTTTTGCTGGGTAGATGATTCTTAGTTAGCAATTTTTTTCTTTTAGGATTTTGTATATGTCTCCCCATTGCCTTCTTGCCTGCATGGTTTTTGCTTAATAGTCAAGAACTTAACTTGATTTACTTGCCTTTGTAGGTAACATTTCTCTTTTCCTGGCTGCTTTTAGGATTCTCTCCTTGATTTTGGGGAGCTTGATTATATGTCTTGGTGATTTTCTTTTGGGGTCTATCCTTCTTGGGGTACGTTTGGCTTCTTGAATGTTTATCTTCTCATCTTTCAAGATATTACGTGGTAAAAAAAATTTTTTTTAAATGTTAGGGAAATTTTCTTCCAGAAGCTCTTCAACTATCTTCTCTGTGGACTTCTCTGATTCTTCCTGTTCTGGAATGCTAGCAATTCTTAAATTGTTCCTTTTCATGTTATCCAGCATGAATCTTAGACTCTCTTTAGATTTTTTTATCCTTTTTTCTGCTTGCTTTTATATCTTAGCTGTATTGAGAGATTTGTCTTCCCGCTCACTGGTTCTGTCTTCCAACTCTTCAATTCTGCTCCTTTCCCCTTTCGGTGTATTGTCCATTTCTGATATTTTATTATTAATCATCTGGACCTCTTTTTGCAGGTTTTGAATTGTTCCCAATGCTGTATCATTGTTGTTTGATTGCTCTTGTAGAACTTTCCTGACTTCTTCCTTGTTTTCCTCCACCCCTTTTCAGAGCATTTGAATTTGTTTCCATATCATTCTTCTGAATTCCTTCTCTGGCGAATCCAAAACCTGCTCTTTCTCTTCTGGAAGGCCTTTGTCTCTCTTCAGCTCATTTGTCTCAGTTACTCTTTTCTGTTTTTGGACATGTTTTGAGATCTTTTGTTGTGTTTTGTTGGTCATTTCTAGTAGCTATGTGGGTTTTTAATGTTTAAATCGAGGTTTGTTGCTGTGTTATTAAGCTTACTGGGTGTCTCCTGGTGGATATGAACATTAGATAGGCTTCCCTTTTTGCACGTAATGCTTAGCAGCTGTTATTGGCTCTTGTCTCAATGGTAGAATATTATGGGATATGCTTGTAGCTTGGCTATATGGCCACGATTGCTGACTCTTCTTGGGTATCATAGGGAGAAACAGCTCCCACCTTCAAGAAAAATGTGTGATCAAAAGGACCAAAAGCAGAAGCAATATAAAACCAGAGACAAAAACCACCACTTTGAAACAAAAATAAAACTGTGGCCAATTGGCCAGTCGCCTTGCTACACATGCATTGTGTGTGCTCCATAAAAGCTTCAAGTAGTGGGTGGGGGTGTCCACTCACTCAGGCCCCTCCTCTAGTCACCACCACAGAGGTGCGCAGATAGATATTGAGAAGTCAATGGGAGAAAGACTATCTACTATTTTTGTCTCTGAAGGTCAGTTAGGTATCTGCGTGTTCACAGCGTAATTCTTGAAATAGTTGCGTCTTTTTATGTTGGGGTTTTACATAGTGTTCATATGATTTGTCTGTCAAGCCAAACCTGCTTTTTTTCTTGCTGGATAGGCATGAGTAAAGGGTCTTGCACAAGTTATCTTTAGTGCTGGGACCCACAGGCAGAAGTCAAAAGCAGCAGCCAAAAAATTTGCCCTTGGACCAATGGGGCTTTTTCTCTCTGTGCTGTAGGAAAGCTGTGGTCTCGATGCTGGACTTTTTGGGGGTGTACACCCACCTGCCTGAAGGCGTCCAGCTGGGCAAAGGCAGCACCACAGGGAAGAGGAAAAAATGTGCAGAATTCCCCCACACCTCCTTTTGCAAATGCCACTACACAGCTTTTAGCACTGGTTCCCTGTGCCGCTGGTTCCCTGTGCCAGTCTGGCTGTACCCCTGCCCTCTGACCTCTGCCTGCACGGGATGGCTGCAGAGGGAGTCTCGTGTCTTGACCAAGTCCTAAATTGCAACATTTTCCTTTACACCATGATTTTCCACTGTCATTTGTGGGAAACTTATGCTCTGAACCTTATGGTAGATCCAGAGCTCTGGTGCTGTTCCATGAGAGCAGCTTCTCTGGGTTTTCAGCCCCTCCCCTTCAGAGCCTGTTCTACCTGACTCTGCTCTGCCGCTGCCAAAACCAAAGTCCTTCCCTCTTACTTTGATGTTTCTGGCATTATTCAATATTTTGCCATTGTTGTTGTTGTTAAGTGCCATCGAGTCGGTTCTGACCCTTAGTGACCCTGTATAGGGTTACCAAGGTGAGACTGGTGAGCTTGAACCCCTGACGTTGGCATTCAAATGTCTTTGTAGTCAAGTGCATTAACCAATAGCACCACACCAGCACTCCATGCTTTGCTCATGGTGGTTGTGGTTATGTGCTGTGGAGTTGGTTCTGACTTATAGTGACCCTGTACAGGGTTTCCAAGGCTGTAAATATTTACAGGAACAGAAAGTCTCATCTTTCTCCCACATAACAGCCGGTAGTTTCAAATTACTGACCTTGCGGTTAGTTGAAGCTTGAATTTTTTCTACAGTTCTTTCAGCTTCAAAAATGCTAAGCATGTTTCTCCTTTTTGGTTTTCTAACTTCAGGTCTCTGAACATTTCATTATAATACTTAAGTTTGTTATCTCGAGCTGCCCTTTGAAATTGTCTGTTAGGCTCCTTTACCACCTCATTTCTTCCACTTGCATCTCTACACGGGACAGCAAGTTTCAGAGTCTTTTCTGAGCTTCATTTTGGCCATTTCCTTCTTTCCTTTCTTAATGACCTTTTGATTTCTTCCTGTATGATGTTATGGATGTTATACTACAACTCTTCTGTCTTTAGTCATTGGTGTCTAATGTATCAAAACTGTTCCTGAGATGATCTCTAAATTCAGGGACGGGGTATGTTCAAATCCTATTTTGGCTCCTATGGAATTGTTTTAATTTTCTTCCATTTTGGCCTGAATTTGCATATTGACAGTGTGTTCCAGAGTCTGCCCATGGCCTTGCTTTGCCTGATGATATGGACCATCACTTCCCATAAATGTAGTCAAGCTGATTTCTGTGTATTCTACCTGGTGAGATTCAGGTTTTTATTGTTGCTTAAAAAGGTATTTGCAATGAACAAGTCATTGGTCTTGCTAAATTCTATCTTGCAATCTGCATCATTTTTATCACCAAGGCCATATTTTCCAACTACTGATCCTTCCTCTTTGTTTCCAACCTTTACATTTCAATCATACGTAATTACCAATATACGTTGATGGCGTCTGGTCAATGTCAGACTAAAGAAGTTGGTAGAATTCTTGTTTCATCACCATAATATAGATCCGCAAAGATGAATGCAAAACTAGGCATAAATAATGATAATATTTCAGGGGTGAGTATACGAGTACTCTGAGTACATGCAAGAATGAGGCATGATTTTAGCACTTCTTCTGACAATACTATCAGAACTAATGCTGTCTAAAACTTTGAAATATCCTTATTGCAAAAAGAGATGGCCTTCTCTGACTAATGGCACTAAAATCCATTTTTCAAAATCCAGCATAGTTGTTTTTATACTATTTCCCATTTTCTTACATTATGATATACTATTCAAGAATAAAACAGCTTTTCTTTTGCCCCCATTCACTAGTAGAACAACTGTAATATATCATTAAAAGAATTTACTTCCTAAAAGTAGGCCATGCTTTAGTTCCTATTTCTATCATTTTCTTTTATCAATAAAACTTGGCAAACTATAAAAATGAACTAGTGAATACATATATAAGCAAATATTGTAGGACAGTACATACCTCCTTCTGATACCAATGATCCTGCTAAAATACAATATGCCTAGAAAACAAAAATAAAGAGCATAAATGAAGTATGCTACTAAAAATATAATAACAACTATTTATACATAAACTTTATAATAACAATTAAAAGCATGTATTAAAATCCCAACCAGATGGTAAGTCGCTTGGAGGAAAAAAGTTCAAAATAAAGATATGAGATAGATGTTATCTTTTAGCAGGTTGAAGTCTCCTCCAAAATTCAAATCAACTCAGAATCTCAGAATGTAACCATATTTGAAAACAGGGTGTTTGCAGATATAATTACTTAAGATAATATTGGATCGGTGGAGTCCTAGTGTGGTGCTGCAGGTTAAGTACTGGACCACAAGTCAATTTGAACTGCAAGGTTGGCAGTTCAAGCTCACCAGCTGTTACTTGGAAAACATATACAGGGTCCCTATGTATCGGAAGGGATTCAATAGCACTTAACAATAACAACAACATATTGGTTTAGGGTAGGTACCAAACCCAAATATGACTGACATTCTTTTTTGAAGAAGGAAGGACACTCATTTACAGAGACATAAAGAAGATGGCCATGTGAAGAAAGGGGCAGAGATTGGAGGGCTACAGCTACAAGTTAAGGAATGCTGGGACCAGCCAAATATAAGAACAAAGTAAGAAAATATTCTTCCCTTGAGATCATACCTCTGCCAGAATCTTCTAGACCGATTTTGGAATTCTAGCCTGCAGAATTGTTAGAGAATAAACTGGTGCTATTTCTAGGCCTCAAAGTTTATAATATTTGTTAATGCATATCCAAGAACTACCAATTCTGATACCAACAGAAGTTGCTATTGTAACATATTCTCCCTTGTTATAATAGGAATGGGAATGCCTATCCTATACCTGACTCACCATTGTAGTTTAGAATCAGATAATCTGTTTTCCAGTTTCACAGATCCACAGTTGGACATGTATTCTGCTGCAGACGGATCATATTCAGAGTCCCATACCTCATTTAGATGAGATTTTGGACTTAAGAGTTAATGCTGAAACAAGTTAAGAATTTGGGGGATGTTGGGATAGGATGAAAGAATATATTTTAGTACCTGAGAAAGGCATGTATTTGGGGACAATACAGAATTTGGAGGGAATGCTGCAGTGGGGTGCCTAGTACCCCTCTAAAATGCATGTCCACCAGAATTCTCAGAAAGAGGCCATATTTAGCAAGACGGATTTGAAGTTATAATTGAGGTGATGTCATAATGGATTGAGAAGGGTCTTAAAACTGATGACTGCCATCCTTATAAGAGGAGGGGGTATACAGACACAGGCAGAGATTGAGGAGATGTGACCGTAAATCAGGGAACACCAAGGGCTGTCAGCAAACTCAGAGAAGCTAGGAGACTGACATGAGACAGATTTTCCTTTGGAGTTCCCAGAAGAAACCAACTGTGCCAACACCTTGATATCAGACTTTGAGCCTAAAGAACTGTAAGAGGATAAAGTTCTATTGTCCCAAGGGACCCAGTTTGTGATCATTTATTATGGCAGCCACAGAAAATAATAAGGTATCTTCATAAGAGCTAACAGCTGATAAATGTTCGTAAGAGGCTGATAAATGTTATGAACATTTCATTTTTTAATACTTGAAAGAGAATCTATACATTCTATAGCTACAGCATCCTATACTATCTATAATCTGAGCTAAATTCTTAATAAAATATGAAAATAAATAATATATATGTATGTAGATCTACACACAACATATACATCTATCTATCTAGTTCAAAATAAACATAAACATTTCAAATCTATGTAGATATAGGGTTGTCCGATGCAAGATACAATCAAATATCCATATCCATATCCAAGTATCTTCTGGATTTTGTTTGGATGTACAGTACCAAGAGATTCCTAATTCACAAAGGCAAGTAAGTTGAAAACAGAAATCTTGTTTTTTGTTTATTTCTTCTGGCAACAGAAGTTTCCTTGCTATACCAGGTCAGCCTTCAAATAAATGAAGACAACAAGAGAAAATTTTAGTCCTAAGTGTACAGAAGGAATTAGCCTACCAACACAATTTTTAATAAATTTAAATGAAATTCAAAAAACAAATCTGTAGAATTTCCAATGTATCTTCGTGGAACTCTAGGCTTCCCTGAAATGCTGTTGTTGTTAAGTTGCTGTTAAGTGTCATCGAGTCAGTTCCTACTCACAACAGCGCTGCATACAGTTTCCAAGGAGCAGCTAGTGGGTTTGAAACGCTGACCTTATCCTAAAGCGCCACACCAGGACTCCAAAAGAAACCTGAAAACTTTGAATCTAGTTCAACATTCTTATAATTCTTCTAAAGAAACTGAAATCCTACAAGGTTAAGTGATTTGCCTGAGTACACAAAAATGGTATCAGAATGATAAGTACAATTCAGCCTTTCCAGTCTCAATTCTAGGATCTTTCTACTGACTATCATTTCCAACATGAAACATAATTAGCATAGTAGCAAAATCTGTCATTAGTTCTTTTTAGTATTTCCATCTCTCTCTAAATAGGATTAAAGTCACATGTATCACCCTATAAAGGATGAGAACATACATCATCTGAGGATTCCAAGAGAATATCTAATATCCATACTCTGGGTCTATCGCTTGTTGAATCTAAAAGGTTGTTGAATCTAAATATTTATATAGCAAAGGATCATATTCAGATAGAACCCAATTTGGTTTCTAAAAGATACAAGAGCTACAGAAGCTTTAAAACTTACATACCTCAAGGTTTAATAATTAATCAAATCTCTGACTCCAGAGTCATTGAGCATTTTGCCTCTGTAAAGTGGTATTGCACAAATTAGAGAATGCGGTGTCTTTATAAAGTGGCCAAGTCTCTTAATAATGGAGAATATATATTTGTTTTAATGACATAATGGCAGTTTTTCAGAAAAGATGCTAATCAGTTAGTACTAGTACTATTGAAAAAGTCTAGTTCAATAGGCTTTTTATTACATACGTTTGTAAGATGTAACAAGATGTTTTCAAAATGCCTGAAAACAAACAAACAACTGCAAGTACCCGTACACTTCAAAACAAGGTGCTAGGTTATCTACTCAGGACTTGGATGAAAGTGTCCCAAGTCTAGTTTTGCAACTACAGGCTCCATGCCACAACACTATGTAAGAAGAGCTTAGGAGGTTAATGAGGCTGGAAAATAATTTTTCTTTCTGGTGCGCTGCTGAGATTTGTTAGAAAAGTTTGATGTGCATTGCTAGAGTTGGGAGATCAGAGTGAACCATGTCTGATGCACACCTGAGAAATCAATCTATAGGGAAGGCTACCAATGACATTGATTGGCTATGTTAGAAGAGAAGATGATTGTGATGGGGAAGAACTACACTCCCACAGAATGTTAAAGGTATCTATTTGTCCCCCTAAAAAGGTCTTTTGAAAAGAGATCAAGTGTCCTAAAAATCCCTTTGACCAAATCCAAGACAACCTCAGCAGAAATAGTCTGGAATTATGCCATGGGATATAAAAGCTAAGAAGGGATGCTATATGACCAATGTTTGCTTATCTTCAGAACTACAGTCAAGCTACGGGCCATGTAGGGGAATAGCCATGAAAAAGTGCCCATTAAAGAAAAAAGACAGCCACAAACATCTAAAAAGGTCAGAGAAAACCAATGCAAATGGACGCTGGTGCCATTAAAGTAGTACTTTTTTATCCCTACCCCTAACTTCAATGATGGCAGAGGCAGCTTGATCACTGCCAATAACCTACTGCTATCCATTCCAACTCAGTGATTCTATAACATAGGGTTCCGAGGCTATAAATCTCTATGGAACAGAAAGTCTCATCTTTCTCCTGCAGACTGACTGGTGGATTTAAAAACCTGACATTGCAATTGGTAGTACAGTGCTTATCCTATAGTGCCACCAGAGTTGCTTTTTGAGGCAGCTTGTTGTACGGTACTATTAAATCAGTGCCGACTCACAGCAACCTAAGCACAAAAGAATGAAACATAACCCGGTCCTGTGCCAGCCACACAATTGTGGTTATATTTGAGCCCACTGTTGCTCCACTGTGTCAATCCATCTCAGTAGGGGGCATTCCTCTTTTTCACTGACCCTCTAACAAGCAACAGCGTCTTTCTCCAACGTCTAGTTCCTCCTGACAAGTCTTTGGACTTGCTGAATGACAAAGTCTCATCGTCCTCGCTTCTAAGGAGCATTCCACCTATACTTGCAAGACAAATTTGTTCTTCTGGCAGCCCATGTCCTGTCAATAATGTTCTCTAGGATACATTCGAGGAAAAATGATTCCATGTGATTTGGACATTGTGTGAACACCTAATTATATATAGACAGTCTCCAGATTATGAAAGAGTTCCTTTCCAAAGTCTGTGTTTAAGTCAAATTTGTGTGTAAGTTGGAGCAGATATGTACAATTGATACCTACTATCAGCTAAATGTTTTAGTATATAGTATACATTTCTTTTTAAAAAACAAAAACAACTTTTATTGTGAATTGAGTGACTGATGGTTTACAGGGAAGATCATCAGTTTTACATTCAGTAAATCATTGCAATGATTACAACCTCCTCCATGCACCATCAGCAAACAGTATTTACCTCTATTACCTTTTTTAAAAAAAAATTTATTTATACATACCACATTGAAAATATATATTCATTTAATTGTCCAAAGGACACATTTTGCAAGCCAGCCTCCTTCCTGCCCACAGGCACACTGCCTTCTCAGTTCATAGGTCTATAGTCCACTGCTGCTCTGTCTCCCTATACCATTGCCTCTGCCACCACCTCTGTTGTCGCTGCTTTTCTGGCTAGTATAATATACATGTCTATGCATAAGAACTTCTAAAGAAACACTTCCAGATACACTAACACATACTGAAAACAATAATATAGTAATAATAGTAATGTTTTCATGCACATCACAAAATAGCACCTGTTTGTTATTAGGAATCATTGTTATATGCTTCAAACTTTTAATATACAAGGTTTTACAGGCATGGGTCCATGGGCATATATGCACTAGACCACTGCCCTATTTTGGGATGCATAACTATACTTCAAAATTGAGATTTAAAAAAAAAAAAAGAATTACCCATAGAAGAGATTCCATTGGTTGAGGATTAAGCAATCCCATGATTCCATGGTACCAAGACAGTCCTGCACCCATCATGAAAATACCAACACCACTAATTAGTGAAGCAATATATCGCATATTTGAAAAACCATATCTGAAAAATAAGAAATGTAGCTTACAAGATATAGAAATGGAGTCTTCAGATTTCTTAGAGATCAGAACAAAAATTGAAACTTCAATTATCTAGATGCAATAGTTTCATATCTAATTAAAACAACATCTCAAATTCAAATCTAAATGAAAAATAATATCGAAAATAGAAAAAGCAGCAAGACCTTTGAAAATATGTATAAATAATTGACTATCATTCAGTTCAGGTATTTTATAATCCTTTTCCAGTTATACAGGGTTGCTATGATTTGGAACCAACTTAACAGCACTTAACAACAAACAGAGATACTGATGAGATAAAATTAACCTGCGTTTTAACTGCATTCCGATGCTTAATGAATGGGATAGCATTTAAAGTTCCATGTAATGTAATTCTAATAGAATATTAGGTCTTTATTATGTGCAGCCTGTTTATGATCTATCTTATCTATAATTTGATGCTAGATATTTATTGCTGGTTCTGAATTTAAGCAAATCCTTAATTAAAAGCATTCATTGAATTTGACAAGTTTTGATTAGAAATATTTACCTTCTTCAAAATTAAATTAAAATGTGAGTTCATTGGTGGCACTAGCCACATTTTAAGTGCTTCACAGGCAATATGGTGACTAGAATATGAAACAGAGTTGCTGTTGTTGTTAAGTGTCATCTATAGGTTCCGACTCAAAGTGACTCTTTAAAGGGTTTCCGAAGCTGTAAATTTCTGTACGAGCAGAGAGCCTCATATTTCTCCCAGAGAGCAGCTGGTGGGCTCAAACTTCCTACATTACAGTCCGCAGTCCAGTGCTTATCCAAAGGAGCTGCTGTGTTTCCATTAAATAGTGTAGATATAGATATATCCCATAATCACAGAAAATTCTATTAGACAACCCCAATGTAGATTACTGAGAATCTCTTAAAAAGAAAGCAACTGAAATTAAAATTTTTTATCTTGTTTTTAAATCTTTGGTGTATACAATTGGTCAAAAAAAAAATCATTTTACTTGAGAATAAAATATTGTAATGAGATATAATTAGTAATTATTGTTATAACAACTACAGAGCTATATTGTGTACGTTTTTCCTAGTTACAGAATATTCAGAATGCTATTATTTATAAGAAAAGAGTGGTAGTAGTGGTGGTCGTGTGCCACGGAATCAGCTCCACCTTACAGCGACCCTGTATAGGGTTTCAGAGGTTGTAAATCTTCATGGAAGTAGAAAGTCACAGAGTGGCTGCTATATTTAAACTACTGGCCTTGCAATTAGCAGCCTAACTTACAAACCACTACACTACCAGAAAACAGTTGTTGTTGTTGTTGTTGTTAAGTGCCATCGAGTCGGTTCTGACCCATAGCGATCCTGTATAGGGTTTCCCGAGAAGCGACTAGAGAGCTTGAACTGCCAACCTTGCAGTTCAAACAGCTTTGTAGTAGTGCCCTGTATTTAAGCAGAAAAAGCCTTTACAGATCTAAAGCCTTTACAAAGACAAAAGTGCCTTCAAAAACACTTAAGATTGATCCAGTTCTAGTACTGACATTTGTTCAAAAATGATGCATGTGAAATTAAAAAGTTTTAGCTGCTTATACTCAAAGGCACAACAGAGAAACATCTTTATCTTAAATAGTTGATACAACTTAAAACAATATATTCTAAAATGTACACAAATTTAGAAACAGATAATTTTGGAACATTAACACAATTAACAGAACACTATTTCTAAATCACAACAAAAGGATTACAATTAACTTAAAATAAGTATAAATTTAACATCCACACTTTTTGGTGGACTATTAGTCTACATATGAACTATGTTCCCTTTAATGGAAGGAAAACAACTCTATGATCAAAATATGCCATTTGTTACTAAGTATCAACTATGAAAGGGACAACACAGTCAAGCTATTACAAAAGAAACAATAATAATTTAAAATCCATTTTCAAATTATATCTTGAATTTATTTGGACACAGCAAATAGTCCTACATTTTAGATACTACAGAAGTACTGACTAAATCTTTAACACAAAACTGCAAGTATATAAACTGCAGGGAATTTCTGAAATTCAGTTGCTTTTGTTTCAATGACTTGCTGCCAAAACAAAAACAAAATAAAGGCAATGTTCTTACGGATGAGTAGAATCTGGTGTTTGAACAGACTTACTGATGCCCAACGCTAGCAAACCCTATAGAAAAGAGAGAGAAAAGTAAGTTGTTAGCAAGATCAGGAGCATAACACAGTAAAGCCAATCTACAAGATGCAATCTCACAGCGTCCAACAAAACCACTAACAGGCATATCCAATAGCCCATTGATTTTTCTCAGTAGCTACATAAAAAAATTAGAGGCCTGGTGCAGCACTGTCAAATAAGCACAAGGTTGGTTATTCAAACCCACCAGTCACTCCTCAGAAACCCTATACTGTGTCGCTGTGAGTTGTAACCCACTTAACAGCATTTAACAACAACCACTCTAAAAAATTAATGATGAACCCAAAGAAGTCCAAAGCATCATTGTTTATGATGGTATTCCCAGATGCAATCTAAACATCCATTAATAAGGAAAAGCAAAATAAAGATACAGCAAAGCTACAAATTACTTCTATAGTACTTTAAAGGAATGGGGTTTGGGTAGATTTTGTGTGCTGACATGGAAAGAGCTCCTAACATACTACTGTTGTGGTTGTGTGCCATCAAGTAGGTTCCGACTCACAGCAACAACCCATGATAGGGTTTTCCAAGGCTGGGAATCTTTGTGGAAACAAAAATTATATAATAGTAAAGAATAATTTGATTTACTTAAAAAAAAAAAAAAAAAGAACAACTTTCATATAACTCTACTTTTAAGAAATACTATGCCAACTATATGAAAAAACATGGAAGAATACATATAAAACTATGGTTACACTTCTGAGGCTCCACACACTTGTCAGTTTGTTATAATGTGATGACTTATGTGTTGCTGTGATGCTAGAAATTATGCTACTGGTATTTAAAGTGCCACATGGTGGACAGGTTTCAGAAGGACTAGGCAGTCTACTTCTAAGAGATTAGTACTTGAAATCCTTATGAATAGCAAAAAACATGGTCTGATATAATGCCAGATGATAAGCTCCACAGATTGGAAGGAACTCAAATACAAGCCAAGGAAGATCTGTCTCCTGAAAGTATGAGTTGTTGTTGTTCTGTCTCCTGAAAGTATGAGTTGTTGTTGTTGTTGAGTGCCACCGAGTTATTTCTGACCCATAGGGTTCCCTAGGAGCAGTGGTGAACTTGAACCACCAACCTTGTGATTCAAACCAACCTTACACTCTAGCGCACTAACCCACACCAGGACTCCGAAAGTAGAGTAGGCCTTATATAATAATGTGATCAGGGCAAAGCTTTTGAAACATTCATGTGCCGATGGGACAAGACTCAAAATGAAAAGAAACAGATGCAAACATCCATTAATAAGCGGAAACTGGAATGTACAAAGGATCAATCTAGGAAGATTGGAAATCAGCAACAATGAAATAGAATGCATAAAGATCAACATCCTCGACATTAAGCTGAAGCAAGGTGACAAGAGCCTTTTCGAATTGGACAACCAGAGGTTTACTAAGATGGGAACCACAAAATGAAGAGGAAAAGCATTACAATTCACCATCAAAAAGGGCAGTCCAGTTCTTGAAATACAATGCTGTCTATGATAAGATCATATCTACACACCTTTGTGGAAGATTAGTTAATACAACTATCATTCAAAATTACACACCAACCACCAAATTCTTCAGTGATGAGGAGACTGAAGTGCTCTACCAACTTTTCTGTCTAAATTAATTAAACATGTAATCAAGATACACTGACAATTACTGGTGATTGGAATGCAAAATTTAGAAAAAAAAGGATTAGTAGTCAGAAAATATGACCTTGATAGAAATGATGCTAGCAATCACTGCATAACAGAATTTTACAAAACCTCTGACTTAATTCATTGTAAATATCTTTTGAACAACACAACTGGCAGCTCTGCAGATGGAATACAGAAGAATCAAAGTGACGACATCTGTGGGAAGAGACAGTAGAGAAGCTGAATACCCTCAGCAAAAACAAGGCTAGGGCCAACGGTGAACAGACCACCAACTGCTCATAAGCAAGTTCAGGTTGAAGCTGAAGAATAGTAAAACAAATCTATGAGAGTCAAAATATCCCAGATTCAGAAGAGGATGTGTCAGAGGGATATGATTGCTGCAATCAGATGGATCCTGGCTGAAAGTAGAGAAAACCAGAAAGATATCTGCTTCAGTTTTACAGACTATGCAAAGGCATTTAACTATGTGGATCATAACAAACTAAAGATAACATGGCAAAAAATGAGAATTCCAGGGGAGAACAAACAAGATGGCGGATCTGGTAGAAGAGCAGTGAGGAGCTCCGTCAGCAACAACACAGAATACTGGACCAATCAGGCTCAGGAGATGGTCCCAGAACTCTGAACCACATATAATGGAATATTTAGAAAGTTGGAAGGCATATAGCCAGTGGAATTTGTAGCAGAAGCAAGAAATCCATGATTTTCCAATCTAAGGCACTCAGCTGCTCCTGAGCCGCCATCTTGGGTGAGAGCATGCGGGGGAAGGATGAGAGCAAGCCACGGACACCTCACAGAACCACGGAGATACAGGAAGAAGAGTGAAAAGGGAAACCCATCTCCTGATCACATCTACCTGGAGGCAGTCAGAAAACATAAAAAATACCAAAACACACCCCATATAAGTTTTAAGGCCACAGCTAACCATGGAATATGCCCAAAAAACAGAAACAGATGACCAAATCAGCACATGTCTGAAAACAAGATAAAGTGACTGAGACAAATGAGCTGGAGGTAAACCTACACTCCATGCTGGAAGGAGGGCAGGCTTTGGAAATGCCTGAGAAGGAATTCAAAAAAATGATTATAAAATGTATCTCAACACTTTACAACAGAGTTGAGAAAAATAAGGAAGAAGTCAGGAAAGCACTACAGGAACAATCAAATAAGATAGATACAGCATTAGAAACACTTCAAAACCTACAGAAAGAAGTCCAAAAGATTAATAACAGAATATTAGAAATGGACAATACACTGAAGGAGCAAAGGAGTAGAATTGAAGAGACGGAAGGCACAACTAGTAAGCTGGAAGATAAATCTCTCAATACCACTAAGAAGAACAAACGGAAAAAAGGGTAAAAAAAAAATCTGAAGAAGGTCTAAGATTCATGTTGGACACCATGAAGAGGAATAACTTAAGAATTATCAGCATTCCAGAATCACACAAGTCCACAGAAGAGATAGTTGAAGAACTTCTGGAACAAAATTTCCCTTGCATCCTGAAAAGCGAAAAGATAAACATCCAAGAAGCTCAACGAACCCTAGGAAGGGTAGACCCTAAAAGAAAAACACCAAGACATATAACAATCAAGCTCTCCAAAATGAAAGATAAAGACAGAATCCTGAAGGCAGCTAGGAAAAAGAGAAGTGTAACATACAAAGGCAAGCAAATCAGATTAAACTCGGATTTCTCAAAAGAAACAATGCAGACAAAAAGGCAATGGGGAGACATATATAAAACCCTGAAAGAAAAAAAAAACTGCCAACCAAGAGTCCTCTACCAGGCAAAGCTGTCAATCATTTATGAGGGCATAATCAAAACATTCCAGGATAAACAGGAGCTAAGGGATTTTGTCAAAGCCAACCCTACGATGAAAAACATCCTAAAGGGAGTTCTGAGAACCAACAAGAACAGACAACCAGAGATTGGCATACGTGGCAGCATCACCCAGAAGTCAATCGACAAATAGAAGAGTTGAGAACAGAAAAAAATTGTAAGAACAAATTCAGAGGATCTGGGAGGTCAGTCTATGATCAAAACGATTACAATGTGAAACAAGGAAAACACAGAGGAACAGAGATCTAGGTGGTGAGAAGGTCAGGTAAATTACAGGATAAAACACATTGTTTTAAATGGGGGGGAAAGTTAAAAGGAATATAAGATAACCACAATGGTGAGGGCTCTTGGGGAAGGTGGACGGATGCAATGGTAGAGGACAGGGTAAAGGCAGACACATCATAGTTCGGGTACTGGGGAGGGCAATACAAGAACGGTGAGAGGGTGCAAGAACAAAGTAGGTAGGGGAACATTGAGACAGGTTTGCATGGGCTAAGTGGGACAGAGGAAAATGATGATGCATGCTTAACCTTGGAACAACAGGGTTCTGTGATACAGGGATCTAGGCATAGCTTGAAGAGGGGAAATAATAGTAATATGCTTAACTGTTTTATGAATATTGGGTTCCTACTATTGTAAAACAGATACTTGAGTGGGATAGATGGGAATGTTGAGAAGCATAATTACAGAAAACTTGTAAGCCCGTCTTCAGCCTATAACTGATTGGAATACCTAAAAGGGATTCTGGAACTTGCCCAGTGAAACAAGCCTCTCTGAGTCTTTGCAGAGTATACAGGACATTAGGTGGAATCCTGAGTCCCATCCAGAACCTTCTGAGGTGGGACATTCCCACTACAAAGGACAAGCAGACCAGTCAGGAACAGCTAGAGTGACAGAAGATATATCTTCTAAGAAAGATCATCAAGAATAAAACCAAAACAAAAATGGTAGTATGAATGGCTACTGCAATAATAAGCAAGCTGTTTGCCAGGTAGCCATCAAGGCAAACAATCAAATTCCTTCAAGATAAACCCCCCTCCAAGACTGAAACTCAAAAGGAGAACATGAGCAGGCATGTAAGCTTGCTAGTGAGTACGTTGGTCTACTGGTGAGTGGAAGAGGGGTAAAGGCAGCAGTGAAGAAATGGGCTGAGTTCAACCACAGTCCATTGGTGCCTGTTGACCTCGAGATGAGAGAGAGCAGAGGAAAAAGGCTGCTGGTCTAACATGTGATGAGACCTGGGGACACCTGAGCCCATGGACAAGGACATAGCCGCGGAGGGCTAGAGCTAAGGGTGAAGCATCCAGCTGATATGAAGTGAGGGGAGAGGCACAAGAAAACCCAAACTTGCAAATATTACCCATTTGACCTAGCCTCAATGACTTGATGATGAGAACTTCAAGAAGATTTAAATTTTTTTTTTTTTTTGTAAAGGAAACAAGGGTAAACTGCTACAATTTGATGAACTTGACCTATACTAATGGAGATAGTAACTCTAAATACCAACAGAGAGGGAAGGAGTCTTTACATCAGGTTCCAATGCTATCCTCTCTGTACACAGAGAAACTTAGACATGGGCTACCTGAAACGAGGGGGCAATAAAGCCAAGAAGCGAAAGGCTTACAAGGTTTCAAGAGGGAGTTAAGAGTGTGTGGGGGAAGAAAGAGTCCTCAATAAATAGTTGTCATCTTCTCTGGATAGGTCTGGTGAAAAGAGCTAGGGGTAAGAATCTTATGATACAATAGTGAGTAATTGTTATCATGACTAACTGTGACTGTTACGATTGTAAAGGAAGAAGTTCTGTAACAAAATTTTCTTGGCATAGATGAGTGACTGCCTCCTGTGCTGCCTCACATTCTTGAAAGATTTCAATTTTTATTCCATCAATTCCTGGAGCTGAGTTCTTTGCCAATTCCTTCAATGCACCTTGGACTTCTTTATTCAGTATCAATGGCTCTTGATCATATGCTACCTCTTGAAA